ATTTAAAAAGAAGAGAAAGATAAAAAATTAATTAATAAATTTTCTGTATCAAACAAAATAATCTCACCCAATAAAGACAAAAAAAAAAAAAAAAAATAAAAGTCATTTTCTTTATTTAAAAAGCAGAAGAGGAAAGATAAAAAATTTAATCTAATTAAGATCGTTTCTGTATCAAAGCAAAATTAGTCGTCACCCAATAAAGACAAAAGAATAAAAAAAAAAAATGAAGAGAAAAAGAGGTTGGTGGGCAGAAAAAAAAAAAAAAAAAATGAAAGAAAAAGAAGTTGGTGGGCAGACGTATGCCACACATTCTCCCTTAGAACAGAAACAAAGAGGAGCACGACAGCCCAAGAACCAAAAAGCATTTTACTTTACTTAAATATTGATAATGCTATTGTTTAATGGGCTAAATACAACAAGACACCTCCAACTTTAGAAGTTTTTGCAATTTTATTTTATTTTAATTTTGACATTTTATAGTAATAACACTCTTAATTGCAATTAAGGATGAAATTGCAACAATGAAGAGTATTTTTATCCATTTTTAGATCATCATTACACTAAGAAAAATTTAAAAATAAAAAATTGAAAAAAGTTTAGTTAATCTATCCAATTGATGTTGAGATTAACAATTTTTAATTTTTAAAATAAATGTAATAATTAATAATTTGATAAATAAATTTTTGTTACTTCCCAAACAAAACTTCTAAAGCATTGACATCAAAATTAATTAATAAATTACTTTCTTTTTACAATTACGTATTTTATTTTCATATTAGCTTTATTTTAAGAATAAAAAAATCTTAATTCTTGTAATTTTTTGGATTGATAATATACCCAAATTAATTTTCATTTAATAAAAAAATAATTTCTCAATTACTTTTATCACGTTTTAAATATTATATTTCTAAATCTATAAATGTATCGATCACTATATATGAATATAAGTTAATATTCAAAGGACATGTGAAATTTTATTTTTATTATTGATTATTTTATTTATTCAACAATAAAGGCATATTTAGAAAAAAAAATTTCTGGGATCAATATATAATAAAATTTATGAAAAGGGTTTCAGTGTAATTTTAAAAGGGATCAATTTAAAAAATCCAAAGGTATTTAAAGGAAATTTGCAAAAAAAAAAAAAAAAAAAAAAAAAAAAAAAAAAAAAAAAAAAAAAAAAAGAAAAAAAAAAAAAAAAAAAAAAAAAAAAAAAAAAAAAAGAGGCCAATTGACCCTTTTACTTAATATGCATTCCTAGCTGAATAAGATACTATATTTTAAAAAGAAAGGACAAAATTTTTTTGTTTGCAATTACACTCTTGATTGCAATTGGGGTGATATTGTTGCAAAATATTAAAATTAGAGTAAAATTGACAAAAATATCAAAATAAAATTTTATAAAATTCGATATAATAAATCTTTTTTAATGCTTGAACTTGTACATGTTATAAGTTTATTAATAGTAATTTACTTAAATAATGATCCATGGATATTTTTTTAATTTCTCTTTTGTTGGTAGATTTAACATATTTAAACTATGGAACAAAAGAGCTCATCACCTTTTCCTTGTGTTCGACAACAACTTTTAAATAGTTTTTAGCGTTTTAAGGATGCTAAACGCTATTATTTACAGTGTTCGGTAATATAGTGTTTGAGCTAATTTTTAGAGGTTAAGGTAGAATATTGTGAAAATTTAATTCATGTAACGTTTAGAAAACTACTTAAACAGCTAATAATTAAATATTATTAAAACAGTTAACAATTATCGAAATAATTAATTTTGCCGAATAAAGATTTTAAGTTGTAACCAATTCTTTGAATACAATAAAATATTTTTCTGAAGATGACTTAAAAAAAAAAAAAAAACAAAATCAAACACGTAGAAAAAGGCAAAGAAGCGGGTGGACCAAACGAGCGTGCATCTTGATCTCGGGGTCCGGTTAAGGAATAAATAATCCACACAAAGAAAAAGAAAGTGATGTCCCTATCGAGTATCGACGATCTCATAAAAGGATAAAGCCCTCCTCAAGCCTCAACCTCCGCGCTCGATTTCGTTTGAGTTTTCTAATCCCAACTTTGCCTTTAGCAATATAAAAATCAACCGTTGCCTATTTTTTATTTTTATCTTATAATAAGTAGTCATTTTATTATTTTAATCTTAATAATTATTAAAAAATATCATTTATTACTCTTTAAAACATTAAAAACGACTGATATTTTTTTAAAACAAAGAGAAATCTAACTAAATAGAGAGAGAAAAACAAAAACATCGTTATCTTAAAAAAAAAAAAAAAATCCCACCAAAGATAGTGGAAGTGCATGGGGTTGAGTTGGCTGTAATTTTCCCAATGTGGTTGACAAAAGTCTAATTGTGGTTGTCAACCATTACAACATAACTTCATGGGAGTTGATGAAAGATGAGGATTATTTCATTGAAATGTGTGTGAATTGGTGACTACTTTTTAAAAATCTTAATCATGATTTCATTGTAATGTTCATGAGTTGGATTGCAAATCCTACTCGGTGAACAACTCAATTATTTCAATATTTCTCAAGTTTAGATTCAATCATGAACAACTCTATCTATCTAATTGCGAGGATTCATTAGAAAAATCTATGGTTGAACTACAGAAATTTTCATTTTTGATATTTTAATTAAAATGTCGATAGTAAAATTTTAAAGTGAAATTTTCAATATAATGAACATTTTAAATTTTAAAACAATATTTAGCCGCTTCAAATTATAATGACATTGACATATAAGACAGATATTCGAAATTTGAATATACAAATATTAAAAGATTTTACCTAAATATTATCTCTAGTTCAGAGTAAACAGTGTGCTAACGAATAAAATAGGCTGAAATTAAATGAAAAAGGCCTTGAAATTTCGATTTTCGTCAAAATAAGGTAGGAAAAAAAAAAAAAGAGTTGTCAAGATTCGATAATATATGATGTTGATGGTCTAGATTGATCCCTTTTTTTCTTTTCCAAAAGAAGGTTATTCTAGTGGCAACTAAAGTCATTGATATTCAAAATTCTATTCTTTTTCTTTCTTTCAAAAAGCCTATAAACAATACCATTCTTGATTTCTTTTTTTTTTTTTTTTTTTTTTAAAAAGCCTATAAAAAACAATACCACTTTCTTGATTTCTTTTTTTTTTTTTTTTTTTTTTTTTTTTTTTTTTTTTTTAATTAAAAGAAGAAAGGCTTTTCGAGCTCTTCTGAGGTGGAAAAGAGGAGCATTACAGTCAATCTTTGACAGGAGTAATTTTTAGAAATGGTTCCAAAGACAGTGGGATAATACATGTCATGTCCTAATATTAACATAACCAAAACTCTCAGTGGAATGGCTACGTATTTTATGAAAGTGGCTGGGCTGGCTGCTTCCTTTGTATTTTATTTTATTATCTTAAGAAATGATTGTACTATATAATTGCTAAACAACTTAAAAGTATAAATTTAAAAAAGAATACCCAGTCATAATCATTGTCTGTTTATGCGTATTTGTAAAGATAAGATCATTATAAGGACACCTCAAACACATTATGCTTATTACTTATTAGCAAACAGAAAGAATCTGTTTAAACTATTTTATTTGATTTTGATTTTCCTGTTTTTTTTATTGTCATGCCTATTTGTATTTGTATTGCTCATCGCTTATCTTTGTTTATATACCTGAATTTTAAATATAAAAATAGAAATTTAAATGTGCCTTGTGGTTGTGGATAAGTCCAATTTATTTCATATTAAGCTTTTGTTTATTTCCCTAAAATAAGTTATAGGAAAACATTTTTCATAATTTTCCGTTGTTTGGAGCACTCAGGAAATAATCAACGGAAAATATTTTTCTAGTCAAAGAAAAATTAAGTCATTTTTTTAAGGAAAATAAATTATATTTTCAAGAAAATATAACATTTTTTCAGATATTGTCAAACCTTATAAATCCATATTTTTTAATTTATTAATCATCATAATCATTACCACCAATCACAATTTATCACTGGCCACTGGCGACCAGCGGTGACTTTCATAATTTATATATATATATTATTTAACAATAAAATTTTTAAATTATAAAAACTTTATTATTATTAATATTTTTTATTGTCTTCTGAGATAAAGACTTTAATATTTTTAACTAATTTTTCAATATTATAACCAAACAATGAGAAAATAAGTTATTTGAAAAATATTTTTTCCAATAAAATATTTTTCAGCAAGTTATTTTTCTGCAAATTATTTTACGAAAATAAACGGATCCTAAATTAAAAATGGCGATGATATTTTTTTTTTAGATTCTTTTACAATTAGGCCTTTTTTAAACAATTAGTGAAAATTCAATACAACGGCAAATGCGGGTTTTTTGTCTGCCAATTGGGAAACAATTTTTTTTTATTATCTCATTTTTCAAATTCTGAGGCAAATGCTCCATCTATAGAATTAGTAAAAGAAAAAGTGACCCTTCCACCATTTCACTGGGGCCTTGTTTAGTTCGAAGCAAGAAGACTAAGAGCGTATATACATTTTTTTTTTTTTTTTTTTTTTTTGTTTTGTTTTTGATTTGCATTATTTAATCAACTCCTCCAAACAGTTAGGACATTTTTTTTTTTTTTTTGTTTTGATTTGCATTATTAATCCAACTCCTCAAACAGTAGGACATTCTACTTTCCTCCCACTGAGTAAAATTTTCTAGTTAAACGTAATTAGTTTACCAATCCTTTTAAGACATTATCTAATGCACTAGATTATTATTATTATTATTATTATTATTATTAAATTCTACTTTTTGAGAAGTAACTTTCAGAAAAAATATACTTACTAGAAAGGAGATCTTTTTGAACCGAATTAAACAATGCCTAAGTTTATGTTTAATGGTTATAGTAGGCAAGAAAGATACTTGAACAAAACTTAAACCTAAAAATGTAGGTGGGCTCTAATGTTAAGAAGAATATCTATATCAGGTAGCCATCTCCAAAAAATATAATGTTTAATCAATAAAATAAAAACAATTTTATTTTTTATTTTTTTGTTATATAGTTGTAGTACAAAGTGGAGGATGAGCTTTCCACATATAGTTGGGAACCCATCTTTCATGTTAACAGAAATTAAATAATAATCAAACAAAGTTTTAAACAAGAATGTAAGACATAACCTATCTATCAAAATTGGAACACATGGCAACAGAAATTTTCATCAATTCTTATGAATTATATGATATCTGAATGGTCTATTTACCTCTCAAGGAGCATCACCATTTCACAGTGTGTAGTATGTGGAAAAAGATCAACAGCCATGGCCTTTACAGGTTGGAAATGCTCTGAAATAGGCATGGACTTCGCTCTATGGCGGGCCAAACCAGCACTGCTCCTGTTCCTCCATCCCCAGTTATTTTTATTCTCTTTCTCTATTTTCTCAGGAGAAGGTGTGCAGAGTTCAATGGCATTTGCTACTAAGGTTTCAGGATTGCAGGAAATATAACTAACAAAACACCAAAAAAGGTGAATTCAGAATAGATACGTGTAGACTTTAAAAAACATAAAAAGAAATTTTAACTAAAATAATGACCACTAGAGCATGAAACTGACACAAGACGCCGTAGATGGGAATGAGTTCTCAAGACTTTGATAACCTGCATTTCGGGGAAAAAAAATAAAAAGTTACCACGCTCTTAATAAAGGACATAACTACCAGGTTGAGATTGAACAAATAACTCGCAGTGCATGGTACAGGCAACACCCAAGGGAAATGGACAAATACGCAGAGGAATGAAAAGACAAGAAAGAGTGTCAAGGAATCTGACATTACACTACTAATACATGTATGACATGTCAACACCTCAGACAAGTATTGAAAAATCAGCAAGTTCAAGCTGTGCAACTACAATTAAATGCCACTAGAGAAGAGCTGGATGAGAGGAAACTTTCACGCAAGTTGTATTGCTGAATCTTTAAAAAATGCCAAAATGAACACAAGTATCAGTTATATTCGGTGCAATGCAGGCCAAATTAACCTTCTAAGATTTTAGATTTACAATGGAAGCTAACTGACCTTTGCTTGTACTGCCCCCCCGTACTGCCCCCCCCCCCCCCCCCCCCCCCCCCCCCCCCCCAAAAAAAAAAAAAAAAAAAAAAAAAAAAATCAACTGAAACCAAAAAAAGAAAAACAAATAAACTCTATGGCCACCTGCTACCATTAGACATGCTTGTTGGAAGAAAAAAAAAAAAAAAAAAAAAAAAAATCCAACTGAACCAAAAAAAGAAAAACAATTAAACTCTATGGCCCACTGTACCATAGACATTGCTTTGGTTGGAAGAGAAGCCTAACAATTGTTTGCATTCCATGCTGGATAAAGTTCCATGTGAAATATTTGGGTAACATAATGAGGGAAGATGTGAGGACCTTTAGTTCTAGTTATCTGTAAATCTATTCTAGAAGTGGCAATGACATGGGCCAGCATAAGGTGACATTTGCTACAGATCAGATCAATTTATGGAGCATGGCAAATGGGCATGCATTTGTTAGGGAATAATTAATAAAAACAATGTCATATTAATTTGGATAATAATGTCAAAAATGTGGTAATAGAACTGCGAGCATAATACAAGAAAAGTGTTACTCACGGTGGGATGAAGCCCGCTACGAGGAGGATCAACAATAGCAACAACATTTTTAAACTGTGGAATAGATGAATTCTCATCTTCTGAGCTAGAACTCTTCTGAAGTTGATTTTGGTTTTCTTGTCCACCATTTTCTGAACACCCAGAACCACCTTTGTCCTTGCCAAGCTCATGGCTCGAGTTCTCATTACCCGTGGGATTATCTTTATCTTTGTCAGTAGTTATGTCCTTGTCACCACTTCCACATGCATTTGGTAGTTTATCTTGTTTCTGACATCCATTTAGGTACTCCTTCAATAGAGATGCCATCACATTCTCTGCCTGTTGCCTCGTGATTGGCAGCATAAACAAATAGTTCATAAGAGAATCATTAAAAATTTGTAAAATTATAGCAAAAATAAAAAGCAAAATCATTTTTCTGCCGAATGATGCCATCAAAACAGGAAGTTCAAATCATTCTCAAAATATATTTACGTTAATAGCTACTTTATTCAAGTCCTAGTTTGATTTGATTACATTAACCAAGACGATGTAGACAAAACCCAATACTCTCACCTTTGCACAAACAAATCTACAGTTTTTAATGCCATTGATTTCAGCATTCCGATGAGCATCTGAAACTGCAGAAGCATTCATTTCAATCCCAACAACCTAGAGAAATTTCAAAGGAAAAACAAGCTCAATCATTTATCAAGGAGAGAGTTAGAAAAAGAGTTTTCACTTGTCTGGGAGGGAATTATATCTTTCCATCAGATCTAATAATATAATATTTATCACCTCAATGACAATACAGACAAGCCACTGTAAACTTACTGTCTTCGTTTTAAATTAATTTTATCAAAAGATGGGTTTTATGTGCTATAAATCCACAGACATAAAAAATCTCAACCAGAAAACAAGAAAGAGAACAGGAATGCTGGCTATCAACAATTACCATTCCAACAAGATGTGCTAAAGTAAGTCCAATTGTCCCAGTCCCACAGCATATATCAAACAGCAAGGTATCAGGACCCAAACCAGCCCAATCTCCAGCAAGTGCATATAGTTTCTCTGCAGCAAGTGTGTTAACCTACAGTATGGTAGCAGATGTAAAATATACAACAGCACTAGCAGAATTTGTCAGAGGAGCAAGATAGATATGAATCTCAGGCCCAAACCTGGAAAAAGGCAGTTGGTGATATTGAGAAGCGGAGATTACTTATATAATCATGGATTCTCACTTCGATGACATTCTTGGTCGTACCCAGTTCAGAAATATTTTCAGCATTTGGAACAACATTCTTGATTGCATCTGGTTCAGAGCTACCTTCTGCATTTGGAACAACATTGTTGCCCGCCTCCACTTTAGAACTATTTTCATTTGGAAGGGGTAAAATACGCAACGGAGCATCAGCCGGAGCAACATTTGATATTCCTTGGTGATCCTACAAAGAGAAAAGCCAACATTCAATGAAAAAAAAGTGATGGACTTGGGATATGAAAAGAAAGTATTATGTCAATATAAAGAGAAACAGTAAGATGTTACAGCTGACGAAGAAACATCAGCAAGTAACCGAGAAAAGTGATTGATCAATCATATCATTATAATATTATTCCATCAACATTGCAGGGTGTATATATTAACTGAACAAACGAGACATTTCTTTTTTGGACAGCCATGGATATGATTTCATACGCATATTCTAGTAAGAAGTTGTATTTTCCAATAGTCCACATGGCCGACCGATGGTCGGGCCTTTTTGTTCCAGATCAGATCCTATGAATTCTGGAACATGTTACATTGGCTCTATGCTCTAGACCTGAAGGCCAGAATTTCCTGAGTAGCCACCTATGCTCAGGCCCCATTGAACCTATATTGCCTTGAAACATTTATTAAAGATGACAACATCACATTTATTAAAGATGACAACATCAGATTATGAAGAAGAATGATCCTCCAAAACTGCCAATCCCTCCTCCCCTCTCCTCTCTTTCTCCACCTCACAGCACTCTCATATTTTCACTCATCTTGCTTTATCTAAATTTGCTGACATCTTGCAACTTGTTAGTCATATACTTCTTTTTATTATATATGCAGGGAAAATAAAAGTATCTAGCATGTATATAACAAACAGATGAAACATATGGACAAAGAATAAACAGATGAAACATATGGGACAAAAGAAGATATATATAATATATTTAGTATATATATATATATATACATATAATTCATGGAATTAAAACCAACTGCAAGACCAAGAAACTAAAGATTTTGGCTATCAGCTAAATGCCAAATAATTGGATTCTAAATAATATACATATAATTCATGGAATTAAAACCAACTGCAAGACCAGAACTAAAGATTTTGGCTATCAGCTAAATGCAAATAATGGATTCTAAATAATAGTAAGATCTATTGTAAACTATAAAAGATTACTGTTCTTTTGATCCTTTTGTTTTCAGACAAAACTCTCTGTTGATCATGTACTACACTAATTTCTTTTTTGGTCATCTTTCAGCCAATTTAATTTTTGAGAGAGGGAAAAAGAGAGAGGCTAGTGATCAATGAACTGGTCTCCATAGGTGAAATTTATATCAGCAGTGAGATACATTAGTAAACGATGAACAAAGAACTCATACCTGAAGAACCAAAACTGTTAGAGGCAAAGGAGGAGAATTTGCAGCAGCTCCAGCAGCAAAGGCATGAGATAACCTCCCAAGTTCATTGTTTATTAGTTCATCATCAAAGCCAGCTAGGCAGACCTACATAATTTGGATTCAAAATGTGTAACTACAAGCCCAAAATTCTTTTCAAAAGTATACTTATTATTTCCTCCCAAGCCTCAAGGGATAAAGAACTCAAATGCAAATCTTTTGCATATGAGATTAGACTGGATTGGGCTAAAAGTAGGTTACTTCATTACTTTGTCAATGTATGTCATCACTGAAACAAAGTGAGTCTAACAAAGATTCTACATAACAAACCTGAACAATAAGCATGACCTCTGAAATGTTAACATTATGGTTTTTTACATCAGCATCTTTCTCTGGTACTCTTCCTTCTCGGACCTTATATAAAGACAGAAGGCAAATGAGAGGAACGGGGTTCTAATTTCAAACAAACTTCAACAGTAGATTGGACACAAATGCATGGAAAGGAGCAGCAAGAATGCTAATAGTAAGGTTTTCATTGCTACTAGTTGTTAACCACATACTGTTAATTGACGCCAGAATCCAGTATTGTTAAATCTGTTCCAAATTGGCAAGGCTGATTCTTGCAGAAATTCTTGAAAAATAAAAGAATACTTATAAGCAATGCTAGAAACATTCGGGCAGTCAGCAGGTTCTTCTACAGCTGTCACGCCATCTCTGAAAAAGAATTCTGAGTTTTCAGCAACAACAGATATGGTGGGAAATGCCTAACATTTAAAAAATAAATAAATAAGGAGTGAAAACAAATTACCTAAAATTTCCTAGCATAAAACCAACAATAGGTTTTCCTTGAAGAGAACATCCAACTGAAAACTCACATTTATTACGGTATCCATTCACAATTGGAGATTCAAGTATACCCTCAAGCTTGCATGCAAGACCACCTGCAGCATTGGAATTAAAAAAGCATGTAAAATGATTATGGAAATCTTTTAATTTCATGGATAAACCATTGAACTATCAAGAAATTTTGTTATAAAAAATCCTCTCAGAATGATGTTTTCTGTAAATTTAAAAGAACTTAACCTATTTCCTTAGACTTGAGCACCCATTCTGGCAAAGAAACACCATGTGGACAAGCTTTGCGTGTGTTTCTAGTCTGATAAAAGAAAGTAACAGTTCAGTTTGTTAAGATGCTGTAAAGTCAAAATATGGTACTTAAAAAAAAATAAAGAAAACACATGCAATTGTTTCTAACAAGTTTTTTTAGCATTTGCATGATAGAGCTCTTCTTGTGCTCCAACTGGTCTTCATAAGGCATATGAGAAAGGGGAGTCACTGCATCACGTGCACTTTTTGCCTTGGAACTTGAACCATCTAATATTGAGCTGTCATCATTTGTATCACCATCCTCAGTTACTTCTGAAGGTTCCATTTTCTGTGGAGTATTTTGAGGGAGCTCCATAGCTGATTTTATTTTCTTGTCATATGATCGGGGGATCACATCAGCAACCTTTATTTTCTTGTTGCCAACAGATTTTCCTTGCAGCTCCTATCGCATACAAATTTACAAATATGTTGGCAATGTCATTGCAAGTTCATGAAGTTCACAATTTTTGTATAAATGAAATAGAGGGATACCTCGCTTGCACGTTTCAATTGGTCAACTCCCTCAAAAGTCACAAAACCTACAATCATGCCTTTCTTTTTCTTTGCCAATTTGAAGTGAACACCCTGGCAGGGAACAGTTGCTTACTAACACATAAGAATTTAACACACTATAATATAAATTTCCATATGAAAAGGTTGAACACAACCAGGCAGCAAAACATTGAAAACTGAACAACAAATTGTGTCCTAAACGATTTTAATTAATTGATTATTTTAAGTTCCAGCATTTAGCAATCTATCAACCATAAAAAACAAATAAAGGTGACAAAGGATATATCACAAAGATGGTGTATCATTTATACATTGCAAAGAACAAAAGTTTTCGAACCAGAAAAAAAGAAAACGCATAAACACTCCACTATCCTAATTTTATATACCGTGTGGATCACAATCCAAAAAAAAATAATAATAATCACATACTTAATTTCTATGCTAATAATAACAGATTTACAAGTTCAAAATGCAAGGCCATTTCAATAAAGTTAATAACTTTTTTACTAATATAGTTAAGAACCTTCAATTTCATTTTTGGAGATTTAAATAAAACCTACTTGCTCATTGAGAAAGTTCCTAAAGTTATCCGAATTCCATTTCCTGGGCAGATGCACCAAGCACTTGCTAAGCTCAGGATCCAAACAGCCCCCTTCACCGCCTTCAGCTTCGCCATTATCAACAAGCATCTCAGTCATCATAATCTCCTCTTCTTTATCCTCATGTATATAATCTTTCTTCTCCTCCAATTTCATGGCTTTCTTCGCTCGCTCTGATGTCGGGTCCCAAGTGTTATCTGGCCGCGGCCGGAGCTCCTCTTCGCCATGCGCGTACCTGCACTCACTGCCATGGCTACAGGATTCTGAGTACCGCCTGAAATATGAACATAGGGACGTTTTGTAATATGGATTAAGTGAATGGTCAATTATTTGCTGTGTCTCTGGTTGCTCCGTCTCCTCCCGCTTTCGCTTCTCGCATAGGTTACTGCCACTGCTGTTGCCATCGTTAGCGGTAGTAGCGGCGGCGGAGGCGGATACCTGGGCCGTCGGTGGAGGATTGGAGGGTTGAAGTTGCTCTTGGTCGTGGCGTTGATTGGGTAAATCGTGGAGGGTCATTGCTGTGGAGGTTTCAGTACAGGGGTTTAGGGTTTCAGTTAGAGAGTGTTCGTTATTTGGAGACGAGCCCATCTTCTTCTCCACTACGTACTATCTTGCACTTTGTTTTTGGGTTTAAGTTGAGTTAACCACAATAAAACTGTCTTGTTTCCTTCTGTATTTTAACAATTCTTTTTTTTTTTTTTCCCTCAAATTGCAGTTAATTCATTTATTTTCATAAAATAACTTGCAGAAAAATAATTTGTTAAAAAATATTTTTTAAATAACTTATTTTTTGTTATTTAGTTATAATATTAAAAATTAGTTAAAAATTATTAAAGTATTTATCTCATAAAACCATAACAATATTAATAATAATAGAAATTTTATAATTTAAAAATTTTATTGTTAAATATAAAAAAAAATGAAAAAAATATAAATTATGAAATTCAGTGATGGTGGTGGCCGCAGGTGGCTAGTGGTAAATAGTGACCGTGGTAATAATTATGACGATTAATAAATTAAAAAATACGTATTTATAAGGTTTGTCAATGTTCTAAAAATGTTTTACTCTCTCGAAAATTGAAACTTGTTTTCCTTCAAAAATGATTTAATTTTCCTTTGATCAGGAAAATATTTTCCCTTCACTTATTTTTCTAACACTTCAAACAACGGAAAATTGTAGAAAATATTTTATTACAATTTATTTTATGGAAACAAATAGAGTCTCAATGTGTAAATTTAAAACAGTGATATCAAAAAAGACTATAATAATAATAAAATAATTATAATTAAAATATAATTTTTATTATTCTTATTGGCACTTATTCATAATTTAGTTTTTAATATATTTTTTATTTATTAATCTTTTATCTATTTTATAATATAAGTTGTTTAATGAGAGAATTATATCTTTTATTTATATAAAAAAATAAAAAAGTTCTAATAATTTATACTGTTTTATAATGATTTCTAATTGAGTGCCTACATCAATTAGAACAATCAAAATCTACAGAAGTTCTGATAGGGGAAAAGCGTAATGGTGGTTACCAAATGAATAAAAAAAATTATGAGAAAAGAAAATAAATAAAAACTAAATAAAAGAGACTGAAATTGCAATTGAAGAGTTCAACAATCCAAAATTTTTCTTGTTGAGGTTGTCATGAGACCAATCAACAATAGCTTGATTACACAGCATCGATTTATTACGCCATTATTCATTGATCAAATTGAATGCTCTATTGTAAAAGTAAGAGGAGATTGAAATTTTTATTGTTGCTAGGAAAAGAAAAATTTAGGCTCGATTGTTCCGAAAAATAATTTATTTTTGAAAAATATTTTATATCTTTTAAAATAATTTACTTTTGAAAAATATTTTCTATTTTTTATTTTTTTACAATGTGAAAATTAGATAAAATCATAGTAAATACTCCTTTTTACACAATTTTTTTTTCTAATTACTTATCATCTTTATACTTTTCATTAGACTTAAATATGTTAATAATATTACACATTTTATTTTAATTTTTGGAACAATAACTTTAATAAATATTTAATTAATCAAATTTTACAAATTAAAATATCTAATAGATCAAATTAAAATGTTTAATAGATATGATTTTATAAATTAAAAAGTTCAATAGATCAAATTAGTGCCACAAAATTTTTTATTTCATGATAAAATATGTAACGAGACAACATCTATAAACCTAATTATTTGTGTGATCTTTCCCCGAAGAAACAAAGAATTGCATGATAACCATGTATTAGCAAGTAACTGAGGGCTACTTTCTTTTTTCACTATGAAAAAACAAAAAGGGAAAATGCTAATGATGCTGAAGAACAGCCTATAAGAAGAGCCAAAAATTACATATATATGTATAGCAAGTAACTGAGGGCTACTTTTCTTTTTTCACTATTGAAAAAACAAAAAGGGAAAATGCAATGATCGCTTTAAGAAACAGCCTATAAGAAAGCCAAAAATTACATAATTAATATATATATATTATATATATATATCACAAAGCATTGCGGCTAACACTATATTACGGGACCACAATATATATATCACAAGCCATTGGCTACACTATATACGACACAATTCTGATTGCAAAGAATAGCATTAGGGTGATACAAAGAAATACGATCTTCACACTGCATCTTTTATTCCTGAAAGTGAAGACATCAAAAGACAAACTGAATAAATTAACACATTGGCAGGAGACGGAGAGATAACCTCTCTGCAAAAGCAGGAGAAGGCCGCATGTGTCAACTCTCTCTAAAGCCCATAATCATGAGATGCTCCATGCACTGAGTCACCTTTTATTGGCAGGAAACAATCCTCACTCATCAACTGCATCCTTCACCTTAATTTCCAGGAGGCGCTCAACTGGTTGCCTGCAGATGGGGCATCGGTCTGATTGAAATCGCAACACCTTGGCACATGAACTGCACATACACTGCATCAAGTAGCACAAAGAGAACAAAAAACAGCCATAAGTAAGATTGAACTCTGCAAACTCTAAATCAAATCCACTGCCTGTCATGTATGGAGAATGGCCATAAGTACAATATATATGGAGCAGGAATGAACATAGTCGATAATGATGCAAGCCAAACCCTCTCTCAATGTTGAAAGTTGGATGGAGAGGTGAAGAAAAAAAAAAAAGTGCCTCTCTCCATTAAATCACAAGCTTAACTATCTAGTCCACCCAACCTATGAGAGAAATGATAACACTGGAAGATACTAGTGTGCAGACCACCAATTATTCCAAAAGCCCTAAAATCTAATTATCAGTTTTACAAATTCAATACCATTTGTCAACTTTCCCAAATAAAAATAATAGGTGTGGAAGTTCTTGCACTCAAAAACAAGCATCCAAGGATAAACTATCCCTTCTTGCACTCGAAAACAAGGACTAACACTTCTGTTGGACCATCAACAGGAGCATTGATACAAGAAGAAGTACACACGGAAAGACTACTGAAAAGTGGGACGAATACACATTGAAATAACAAAAGCTCAAGAAATATAGAAACAATAGGGTTCTTTTAGTACATTTATTAACTATTCCGAATATCAATAATAGGTATGGATTATGAAGGTTCTTGACTCAAACACAATCATCCAGGACCGTGGTTAACCAATTTTGCTGGCCAATCCACACAAGCATAAAAGAATTGCAAACAGACAAGATTGCTAAACAATATAATATATATATAAACAACAGGTTACAGGCATCTTCCTAACTAAAATATGATCAATGGAACGGCTCCTTTTTTTTCTTATAAGTGAAAGGAACATCGAGTTATAGAAAGCAGTAGAATCTTTATTACCATGTGTCGGCAAGGGAGGACAGTAGTGTCTCGTGGTTCTGACAAGCAAATCACACATTCTTTTCCAGAATCATTTTCATCAGATTCAACTTCCACAGAGTTCCCAATCCCAAAAATCTCCTGCAGCTCATATCTTGTACTATTCACCCATAGAATTTGTTTAATCACTCTAACAAAGTATTTATCATTTTCTTTCTTATCAAACACAGCCAAAGTGATCTGAGAATTCCCAGTTGAGTTTGTTCCCAATTCATCATTGTTTAAGTGGCGTGCCTCAGCCTTCACCATTAGAGGATAAACCCCCTCGGCATCCTCTTTCTTTAACTCTACATCCTCAAACATGGAGAAATCAATCCCCATCCCACTTGGTTGTCGAAACTTTTGACCAAGACCTTGTTCAAAAGATATACTGACTGGTTTAAGCATGTCTTCCTTTGTAGCTGTAAGGTTACAATTTTCACCTTCTTTAGCAAAAAAAGCTACTGTAATCCTGCCATTCACAATTAAAAATCGATTTTTATTAAAGATAAAAACTTCAATAGAAATTGTCAAATTAAAATAAAAGGGAATTTTTTGGGAAAATTACCTTCCGGCGGCGGTGGCATCAAAAGTGAAAGAGACGAGGAATTTTCCGGGATTCTCTTCGTCTTCCTCAACCCTAATACTATCTTTCCTTATATTCACATCATTCTTAATTGTTACAGCCTTCTGATGCTCTACCGGTGGCGAAAACATAGGCGGAGGTGCACCACAAGGGTAACGATATAAATGATGAGGAACTGGGCGATACGGCATAGGATGCGACGGATAGTATCCAGGAGCGTATTGATGATACTGGTAAGGTATATTAGGGTTTGGATATTGAGATGGAGCAGCGAATGCGTATTGACTTGTCGTGATTTGGGCTTGCGGCGCCGGCGATGGATGGCTATGGTGGTGCCTACGGCTATTGCTTCCTGAATTTCCCATCGGTCAAAATTTGACTGTTTGGGTGATAAGAAAGTTGAGGAAAATAAGAGGCAATAATTTAAAAAAAAAAAAATTGGGGTTTTTTGTAAAAGACGGAGACATCAAATTAACGAAAATCCAATATCACCACCAACAGCGGTTCTTACAAGGACGCGAAGCGGTTTGTGTTGCTTGCCAGCTTTGCAATGCTGGCCCACCTAAAAGGTTTGTTTGCCACGTCATGGTGTTTTAGGTTACGTGGCAAAATTGATTGCTTGGGGTTTTTGGTAAATTAATCATTGGAGAGTGATTGACTTGTTTTGGTAATAAGTAGCTGGTAAAGAATTAGTGTTAATTAATTAAAGAATTAATTAAATATAAAATAAATAATTTTATTAGTGCTATTAATTTAATTGCACGATATATTATTGAGTAAAATATGAATTTAAATAATTTTTTAGGAACAACAAATTTTTTAATCCATTATTAATTAAATAGTAAAATTAAATGATTTTAGGAGGTTTAGGTAACATTTTGGTATGTATTAATTAGATTTAGAAATAATGAATGATAAGATTTAAATGTTTGAAATGGATACACAAAAATTTTTATAAATTTCACTTATTAAATTGAGTTTAATTCCATTCTTTATCACTGTGTATATTGTAATAACATACATAAAAATAGAGTAAATTTTATGAAATTGATTTCAATTTTATTGTTTTGAAGGAAAAAGAATTTCCATTTCGCTTTATTTTTCAAGTTTATTTTTTTTTATTGATGAAATATCATAATATGTGATTAAAAATAATTAAATAATTAAGAAAATAATAAATTTAAGAGACAAAGCAATTTTCGACTGTTTTTAAGTAGCTGTTAGTTATTTTTTTAACTACCCTAAAGCGGCGGAGTAGATTGCCAAACATTAATTAATAGGGACAGCTAACGAGCATTAAAAGAGTTAATTTAATCCAATGAGTCCAGAATATATGTGGTTAGTGGTCAAATAATCACGCGCGTGTGAAAGAAGGTGGAAGTCGAAACCCTTACGTCTCTACGTAACTCTCCATTTTTTGGTTGAAAAAAAAAAACAAAAAAAAGAGAAAAGGTTACCAATTTGTGGATAGCGTTTGTCGCGCTGTAAAAATACCGCACTTAACTGAACTGCCTCTCCGACACAATCCATAACAGACGAAAGGGTTGAAACTTTCAATTTTCAATCTTTGAGTTTTTCAACTACTTAGTACGGCCTTTTTTTTTTTTTTTTTTTAGAAAGGTTAACCAATTTTTGGGATAGCGTTTGTCGCCGCTGTAAAAAATACCGCACTTAACTGAACTGCCCTCTCCGACACAATCCAATAAACAACGAAAGGTTGAAAACTTTCAATTTTCCAATCTTTTGAGTTTTTCAAATACTTAGTACGCCTTTTTGGCCTTTTTTTTTTTTTTTTGTCCTTTTTAATTTTGACCTCTCCATCGTGCATTGCCTGGAGTACAATTTTTAATATCCTTTTTAATTTTGTAATTTTTGTTTAATTACAATTGTAATTTAGTTTTCACAAATAAATAGTCACTGAAAAAATGAAGATGCATTTGAATTTTGACATAGTTTTATTTCCGCAATTTCCCACTTCTTTCTCTCTCTCTTTTTTTTTTTTTTCTGGGTAAAACGCATAGAAATCTTGCATATATTTTTAGTTTTCACATTAAACAAACATAAGCTATTTTTGCAGTAATTCCAAAAATACAATTGGATTCATCTGTATGTGTGAACCAGCTCATACAAGCAGACAAATTATTCTTCCATGACAGATTTCAAGATCAGCGATGACTTTTCTTTTCCTCCTTTTTTTTTTTTTTTTGGTTTTCCAAAAAAGGTCGAAGAAGTTTAGCTGGGAGGAAACAATTCTAGTAAAGCCTTTTTTTTTTTTTTTTGTTTTTCCAAATAAAAAAAGGTCGAAGAAGTTTAGCTGAGGAAACAATCTAGTAGATGTAAAGCTGATGTTATCAGTTACAAGTTCAGTTAAATGCGTGCGCAAATGATTTAATCAGACATCATCAACATCAAACTTCTGTCCTTGCAGTCAATAGAAATTATTTCACAACAAACAAGAGGGGAAGAAGAAGAGGAAGAAAATATGTAGCTATAATCAATGTTTTCATCAAACTGGCATGGCGTATGGTATGCAATTTTTGTAACTATAAAACGAATCTGATAAAGTATGCAGCAGATGACATACAGCATGCAATATACAGCGGCAGAATACTTGCTGCAACCAAGGCTAATAATTGTGGAAGCAATTTGGCCAATACTAGGAACACATTATCACATCCAAGTTTGCGGATTTTTTCTTTTTTATTTTTTGCCGTCTTCCGGTAAGTGAACAAGAGAAACTGTCTTAAAATAATTAGTGTAGATTGTCTCCACGAAACATCACTAGAACTCAAGGGAATTTTTTTCATTAAAAAAGGAAATGAACTATGGATTAAATGAATAATGTAATATTTCAAAAAAAAAAAAATTATAACTCACAGGCAAGTACTGCATATACTTTCAATTGGAAGAGAAAGTAAACAAGTGCTGGATGTATGCACCAAAAGAAATACAAAATCATGAAACAATAATGGTTTTCTCAATTTATTAGCTGTGATCAGAAATGTAACTTAACAGTAGGGAAAGAAAAGAGAAAGAGAGAACAGAGTATTTTCCCAAGTAACCTTACTCCGTACTCTTGAAAGCAAATAAAATGCAGAATCTTGAAGTGAAACACTCAAATTTAAATACAAGGGTGTTAAGAAAAGGAAACCAAATTATCATATTGAGAAGTGCTATCTCAGTGACAAATTAATTCTAGTCAATCAAATAAACGTTTGGGCAGCACCTTAAAAGCAAGTCAGATTGCTGTAACCTTCACTCTCGGTTGAGTCAATCTAAAAGAATCCTCAACAACCCATAACTGCACAATTGTAAACAAACACACCAACATGCTCCTTCACACCAAGAACCTTCCAGTCCAAAATACCATTATTGACTCCAGATTTTGGACACCAAGAGTTAAGAACAACAGCTTCACCTTCTGGGCCTCTCTGCCCACCCACAACCAGAAGCTCCTTTCCACAAGCCTTGAAAGCCAAGCCCCAACCATTTGAAGAATCAGCCCTCACAGGAAGCCTCCCCAACACATCCCAGGTGTTTTTCACCTTGTCATACTTTTTCACCATGTTAGTTAAATACTCAACAGCATATAGCTGGTTATCCACGACTGCAACAAGCGGAGGAGCTTGAGCAGCCCGATTAACATTTGGATACATTCCTTCTATTGTCCTCCACTTCCTTGTCTCAAAATCATACTCCTCACCACAAGTCAATGAAACAGTGGGACTTGACATCCCACCAATCACGTAGAACTTGCCATCCATAAAAAAACCAGAGCACAATCTACGTGGCGAATGCATGTTCGGTAGCATTTCCCATTTGCCTGTTGAAGAATCATATAACTCTGCTGAATTCAAAACATTCCCATTCTTATCACTCCCTCCTGCAACAACAGCAATAGAACCAAAACTACCTGATCCAAACAAACAACGGGGGCGATTCATCCCTTCACACTTTACCCAACCGCGACGAATCAAACTATATTTCCATATAGCAAAATCAAAGAGCTCACGCCCAAAAACCAGCAATTCACTACCCACAGCCAATGACTCCTTATCTGCATGATTGAAACACTCATCGCAAGGTATCTTGGGCAAAGCCATCCATTTCTTTCTCATGGGATCAAATGCTTCCCATCCCCTCGGATCACAAACTAGATACACCCAGTGCTCTACAATTCCCAATTGCTTCCTTAGCCCATACAAATATCCACTTCCAATTAGCCCATGAAACCTCTTGTTTATACAAGATAATGAAGCATAATCCGATCTACAAGCCCAAGCTAGACAATTTAATGCAACATCATCAATAAGACCAGGGAGGAGTGCATCACTTGATCCTAATCGTAAACGACCATCATTTACTCCTCCCCTTGTATTTATAATTGAATGGCCCATTACTTCTTCTTCCTCCATCGATTTTGTAATCTAAATAAGTTGTTTCTTTGTATTATTAACCAATCTTTGCTATCACCCAAAGAAAACTCAGGCAAATTCCCCAAATGAAAAACAATCCTAATAAATTATCAAACAATTGCACTTATACCAGAGTTCTTGATTATTCTCCCAATAACCTGAAAACAAATTGCGATCTTTGAAGACAATCACTCTCCATCTATTTATCTTTTCCATTAATTCAACAAAACAGCATTATGTACCTCCATTTCACACTCCCACTATCCCTACACAATTCCTCAGGCAAATTATTCTTTTTCTATAATAAAAAACAACACTTCTTTATCCAATTACCAAAGAAAGAGCAGAAAATTCGGATTTTGAGAAATCATGCCGGAATTATAGAGAAAAGAATCGCAAACAAAGATACAACAGAGTCCAAGCGGTGTGACCCAATTACCAAGATTTGTCGGCAAATTTTTCCAATTGGTTTCCCGCAATACGAACAGAATTATTACCTGAAATTTTATGAGAATATAGAACCAAACAATATAAATTAACCAACAAATATGGAACGGGTAAACAAACAATTATATTTATAATTAATTAAACTAAGATTGTAATTTCAGGTCCGATCCAAATCCAATCCCATGAAAATGATACGGATCCTAAGCGAGCTATGCCTATAAAGCTAGTTATAAGTAGAGCTGCGAAGTAATATATATAAACAAATACAAATAAATTTGCGACTGTACCTGAAATAATTAAACATAGGGCGGATCTCTGATTTCGGGTCACCGGAGAACTTGCCGGGAAATTTTCCCGTCGAACATATATCCGGAGTCCGGCGAGTATAAAAGAGAGAGAGAGAGAGACAGAGAGGTATCTGGGATAGTTTGTATCAGAAAGAAGCAGAACTGATAAAGGGAAAGAGAGTGCGTTATAAAACTGAAATACATTGGTTTTTTTTATGTTTCGAAAGTGTCCCTGAAGTTTATAATATTTCATAAAAGTCCCAAAAAATTCCCTTTTATTTTTTTTAGCCGTTTTCTCTTTATAAGCGGCACGCAAAGAGAAGCAAAATTGTCTGCTTCCATCTTGTGTATCACTTTTCTATTTTTTTTTTTTTTTTTCCCTTTGTATTTTTTTTTAGCCGTTTTCTCTTATAAGCGGCACGCAAAGAGAAGCCAAAAAATTGTGGCTGCTTCCAGTCTGTGTAATGCACTTTTTCTATTTTTTTTTTTTTTTTTGTAGGGGAAATATTTTCTTTTCTTTTTTTTTTTTTTTTTGTAGGGAATATACTTTTCTAAAAAAATAAAAAAGTTCATTTTCCTCAAATATTATTTTATTTTATTAATGAAGTTTCGATTCCAACTTATAATTTTTAAGAAAATTTTTTCATTTTTTAATAGTATTTTTATATATTTTTTTGTAATATTACTTGATTAACGAATTTATTTTGATACCTTTAAATTTTTTTAATTAGATATTTTTTAATATTATATAAAAAATATATAAATGTGGAAGTGGAAAAAAAATAAATTTCCATAGATATTTATAGTGATATTATATCCTAAATTATTCTTAATTATAACCAAGTAAAAGATTTTAATAAAATAATCATAATAAATAATAAAAATTTGATTTTTTAATTTTTCTACAATTTGTTGTGTATTATTTATTTTTATGTTTTTTTAATTTATACATTATCTATTTCTATATATTTTTATTTTTCAACCTTCCTTGTTATATCATAGTAGTACTATGTATATATGATTTTAGAACGATGGTATTGACATTAATTCACATAATTTAACAGTATAATAACTAAATTAAAAAAAAAAAAACAGAGCATAAGCTTTGGAAAATTAATTAAAAAATAAAAATAACTCATTTTACAAAGATTAAAAAAAGGGGTTAACCTAAAAAAAAAAAACTCTGAAGTTTGTCGATTGTTGTAAAAACACCGTAATAAACTTCGTCCCCTTGGCACCTCAATTTAAAAACTTTATAATATATCACTCTAAAATTAAATTTAGCTAGGATTTTTAAATAAAAAATTATTAAAATAGATCTCATCAAACTAGGTTGGATTAATTTAACCCGAACTCCTCAAAGCGCAACATTTTAATCAAAACACACCGTATTGATTTAGGTAGACTCTAACAAAAATTAATGTTGGAATAAGAATTAGATAACTATACAATTTAATTATTATAAAGTGTCTCCTTATTTTTTTTTTTTAAGAACTTTTAACTTTCTTGTTTTTCTAAATAACTCTTAAATTTATTTTTATTTTTTATGTTTTGGGTTGGACCACGTAATGTATTTTTCTTTTAAGTTTGAAAATTAATAATATAGTAATAATTTGAAAATTAATTATATTAATTATATATTGTTAAACATTGATATAAATATTATATATTTATAAATAAACATTATTAAATTTTAATTTTTTAATTTTAATTTATTTTTTAATTTTTTAATTTTATATATTCTGATTAGATAGGTATCTTTTAATGTTTATATAAAAATTAATTTTATTTAATAATAAAATGTGACAATTATATTTATCATATTCTTAATATAAAATTATACTTTAACATTATAAAAATTTAAACACTATGAAAAGAGAATTATAATTAATATTCAATATTAAAAAATATAAATAACTAATAAATAACGAATAATGAAAACGTGCAACACATGTTATAAAAAAAATTGTTCCTTTTAATATGGACTCTTCGTTTATTTTGAACTTGATTTTTGAAATTACTTACTGAAGATGCTATGCCATCACCTGTTTCCAAAGATTGCATTGTTGTACCAATTGATGTGCGTAAAGCTAAATTTAATATAGGAATGAGCATACTGAAAAATCTATTGAACCGATTCACTTAATTTGATGTTTAAAAAGTCTAATTTGATTTCAATTTTAATAAAAAAAAGTTAAATTTTTTTATTCATTTCAATGTTTATTATATTAAACCAAATAACTAAAAAACTCTAAAAATTAAACTAGTTTTATTCAAAAATTAAAAAAGAAATATTGAATTGAATAGGTTGAGTTCAATTTGGTTTATAAATAGTTTCATTCAATTCGGTTTTGTCGTATAAAAATTAGATTTATTCAATTAATAATAATTAGGTTTAAGGAAAAAAAATTAAAATTACTTTCTAAATTATATCAAATTAATACATGAAAATTTTTATTTTAAAAAACTAATTATGAGGTCCCTAACTTACCGTTAATACTTTGGTCATCTCATCCAAAATAGAGTTCCTAATGTTTGAACTCTAGCTAATTCTTGAATAAGGCATGTTAAGTGAAAATGAAAATGTCATTTTGCGCTTTATTATAAGTGTTTTTGAAAAATTAAATTTTTTTGAAAGTGGAAAACTACAATTGTTTTATTGTTTTAATAGAACACTAGTAGAAATTTTCTCATTAACACAATAAAGTTTTGAATTAGATAGAAATTTAGATAGGGATTTCATTATTAGGATAAATTATTATTCAATGCCCTTCCTCTAGCACAATAGGCCAATGGCTATAATTATTATTTTGGTTGTTATATTATTAAAACACCAACTATATTATACATCTTTCATCTTCCTTACCCAACTTTCATAACACCTTAAAATGCACAAATTTCCTTGTTTAGTTACATATTCTTACAAATCTATAACACAAAGCAAAGTTGCTAAAGAGGAACACTAATTACTTATGAACAAGAAACAATATAGGATTTTAGGTTCAACAACCGCCTTAACTCTTATGAAAGAACAGGACATAGACATTATAACCTTCAAGAAAATAAAATGGTTTTAGTTGTGAATGGTATCAATCCAAAAGAATGAGGCTATTCTAAGCAATTAGAGATGTTGGGTTCATTCTATGGATATAGCCCAACTATAGTCTATCTACGTTGGCTTAGAGACTTTTTTTTTTTTTCCCTAAACATAGATAAGCTCGTTAGACTAGAACTAAATTTAACTCGCTGGATTATAATTAAATTATACTCCCACCGAATCGGCTCATTAAGGGGTAAAGTGCTTCAGCAATTATTTACTCTACATATAAGGATCAAACTCTCGACCTCATTTAAGATAGAAGAGTACCGAATCACTCATCTCAATACTCATTTGGTAGAATGTTAGAGACTTCAAGTACTAAGGCATTATAACTTAAGAGTTATTGGCTTTCTTTCCTCTCTCTCCCTCCTACCATATTTGTACCTATGTGCTTTAAATGTTAGGCAAATGATGGGTACCAGCTCATACTTTAGATAAACACCAATTTTATGAGTAGATACCCTATCAAAATCCATGTGAAAGTGAATGGCTATATTTATTTGGGTTTTTATAAAAATCACATGAAAAAGAAAGGAAGAAAGAAATTATGTGTATAGTGAAAGTTTGATCAACCATCACATGAAGTTCATTGAATATAACCCATTTTACAAGCACTATCATTTTTTGCTTCTTCTTCATTATAGGAATTAGCTAGGATTAGGAACCCCACTTCTTTAATTTTTTAAGGTTCATAATAAAATCTTTAGCTTCTTTTTATTTATTTATTTTTCGTTTGAAAATTTTAGGGTTTTTTAGTTATTATTTGGTACTTAATATTTATGTTCTTTGTGGGTTCTACTTTAGCAACTTTTCTTTGCAATAATAATATCTTTGTGGTTCACAAAGAAAAGATAAGGAAAATTAAATCCTTATGGCACACATATAGAAACACTATGATCAAATATTGACATTTTAAATTTTTCTCCCTTTCCCTTTTTTTTTTTTTTTTTTTTTACTTAGCATCTTTCTTTGCAATAATAATTCTTTGTGGTCTCACAAGAAAAGATTAAGAAAATTAAGATCTTATGGCACAATATAGAAACAACTCTGATCAATATTGACCATTTTAAATTTTTCTCCTTCCCTTTTTTTTTTTTTTTATTTTTCTCTTTGTCTTCTAAGGGAAGTGTCTAGCATTGAAATTGCTATGGAAGGTTTCTTTTGTCTTAGATCCTAGAGATGTGTTAGGTCCTCCATCCCTTTTTTTTTTTTTTTTTTTTTCTCTTTTTCTCTCTAAGGGAAAGTGTCTAAGCATTGAAAATTGCTATGGAAAGGTTTCTTTTGTCTAGCATCTAGAGAATGTGTTAGGTTCCTCCACTCAATTTATTTTGAGCTTGCTTAAATTTTAAAGTATTATAATGAAGAATTTTCTTTTTCGATTCCATCATTAATTTGCTGTATCGGATGGGCTATATATAAAGCGTAGATAAGTCTTCCTACGATTTTCGTGTTAAATAAAAATATACGCTCATTGTTTTTCAAAGTAGGCGGATAAAAAAAAAAATCCAAATACTTGTATCATTGGGACAAAAAGAATTGAGAGAGGTAGACAAAGAAAATTGAAGGGAGCATAGGAAGAAAATTGGAAAAGGAATAGATGGAAAGTAATTAAGACTTTGGCCACAAACTCATGCATAGGAAAAGACATATATATTGACCATCACATTCACATGCCCGCCCTCAAGGGTTGACTAATACCAAACTTATTGTCCATCTATATAAACATGTTAAACCTACCCTTCCTATACTAACTTTATGTTGCCATTTTTACTTTTCTAATAATTATTATTTAATGCATTTTTATATTAAAAAATATATTTTATTTTGATAAGATTTTAATTCTCATAAAGTTTTTCTTCTATATATGCAGCAAATCAATCTGGCTAGAGTTTCCATATCTTATAAAAATATAGGAAATGAGTGGTCTTAAGTTCGAATTCTCTTTATTGTAGAAAATTTTATTACTAAAAAAATTTATTGTAGAAAATTTTATTACTAAAAAAATTATTAATCCGCAGGATTTATTATGTCATTAAGCTTCATTTAGATAAATAATAATAATAATAATAAATAGTTATTGGTATTTTTTTGATTAT